CGCTCTTCCTCAGTTGACCATCGTTTCTCAGCTGATCGTCGTTCCTCAGACCACCACAGATTGGAGAGTAGAGAAGCACACTATAGCAATACCCACTCCCCAGAGGTGTCCCATCCACACCCAGCCTCCCCTGTGGATCCTTACATGCTTACAAAAAATAGCCCCCCATTCCTAAAGTCTGACCATCCAGTGGGCCATATTTCAGGACCAGAGGTGGTTGGCAGTGGGTTTCAGTCATCTGTTGCAGTCAGGTGCCTATTGCCATCAGCTCCATCTACCCCAATTAGACTTCCACACTCTGCTTCTGTGTCTCAGTTTCATGTGCCAAGAGCTTCTCAGTTTGCTACAGCTCGGATACCTCCAAACTACCAGGGACCTGCCATTCCCTCTGCCTCCTTTGATGCCTATAGGCACTACATGGCATATGCAGCCTCAAGATGGCCCGTGTACCCCACCTCTCAACCATCAAATCACCCTCTACCTGAACCACACAGGATAATGCCAGTAACCAAACAAGCTACTCGTAGCCGTCCCAATCTCCGTGTGATCCCTACTGTGACTCCTGATGAGCCCAAACAGGAGGAGTCAGTGCTAGGCTCAATTTCTACTGCCCAAGTGCCTGTCCAAGTGTCCATTCCATCACTCATAAGATATAATCCAGAGAAGATCTCTGATGAGAAGAACCGTGCTTCCCAGAAGCAGAAGGTGAATATTAGCTTTGGGCATTCTGTGCCCAAGTTTTTTTTACTTAAACATAAATTTATTTTTATTGTTTAGAGGGGGCAGAAAATTTGTAAGATCTTTTCACTTTAATACCTTTGGAGACTGCCCTTGTTACCCTAAGTGTAACCTCTGTTGTTCTCACTTTTTTTTTTTTTTTTGAGAGGTTTTTTTTTCGCTATAGGGCACGTGCGCTCACCAGACAGAGAGAGACATAGAGACAGAAAGCAAGAAATCACCCCCCAGGGGGGATGGTCACGCCACAATCCCTTCTCCATTCTCCTCTCGGGATCTTGGTCACGCACGCACACGTGCCCGGCATGAGTTTTAAGCCACCGGGTCCGGGACCCGAACCGCAGTCGACTACGTGGGAGTCCAGCAACATAGCCATTACGCTAACTGCTGGTTCCCGTTCTCACTTGTTTTTATCATAGTACTAAATAGAGGTCTGGCCCTAGGTCCAACTGTGCTTGCTAGACTTTTTTTGGGGGTGGGGTGGGATTTTTGTCATAAGCCATAAGCACTCACCAGAGAGGCAGACAGAAAATGAGAAATCACCCCCCAGGGGGGATGGTCATACCACAGTCCCTTCTCCTCCATTCTCCTCTCGGGGTTTTGGGTATGCATGCACATCCACCTGGCGTGAGTTTCAAGCTGCTGGGTCTGGGACTTGAACCATGATCAGTCATGGAGTTCAGTGCCTTAACCACTACACCACCTGCTGACTGTTGCTAGACTTTTAAATATATATGTAAATTGTCATTTAAAAAATTATTTAACTTTATTTATTTTAATCTGACCAGAGAGATTCAGAGTGAGAGAAAGAGATAGAGGGAGAAAGCAAATCGCCATGTTTGAGACTCGAACCATGGTTGGCCTTGTGGGAGTCCAGTGCCCCTAACCACCATGCCACCTGTTGGCCCCTAAATTGTCTTTTTTTGGGGGGAGAGGTTTTTGCTATAGGGCACGTGCGCTCGCCAGACAGAGAGAGACAGAAAACGAGAAATCACCCCGGGGGATGGCCATGCCTCAATCCCTTCTCCATTCTCCTCTCAGGA